TTGAAGCCTTTTTTATTACAAATTGTGAAGAGTATGCTATGATGTTCTATAGCTCTTATAAAAATACCTCTATCAGAAAACATGCATACATAAACCTCATATTGTATTCTATAATGTGTATTTAGTGTCCCTTATATTATTTTTTTATTAGTCAATTACTCTTTATTTCACTGAACATACCTTCTTTCAAAACAATTAGTTTTCATTCTGAAAATCAGGAAGAATATTTTCAAGAGAGATAGATTCATCAGAAAAGTTTGTACAACAGTCTTCCAAAAGACAGAATTCCACCATATAAGACAAAACTCATTTAGAGTCAGGAAGAATCATTAACCAACTTACAAGTAAATTATGAGATTGTAGGAACATTTACACAGTTACCTAATTTGAAAAGTAGTTGTCATTAGAATCAGACGGTTTTTTTTTTTTTGTACTGACTGAGATATACCTGTTGAATCTTGTATTGCTGAAAAATCACTGCAAAGACATTCAGAAGTTGCTGAATAAATATATATGATTACTGGGGCTGGGTATCCCAAAATTTCGATGCAAAAAGTAATTGGCAAAATGATGTAGCTTTAAAAAAAAAATCTTTTCCCTGACACTTGACATTTGATTAATAAAACATCCAGTGTTTTATTCACTGCAAAACTAAACGCAGCAAACTCATACCTTCAAACATATGATGGTGTGACGTACCACTTCAGGTTCTCAGTAAATGTACTGGTAGTTTTCCTACAAGTGTTTCTTATGCTAACTTTTTTTTCTCTTAGCTCAGTTCAATTTTTTTATATCAAAATTATTACCCTACTCAAAAATAATTGAGGTCAAGAAGAGTCTGAGTTGTGTATCATATATAACAACATGGAAAACAATATTTTTTGTCAATAATAGTAACTGATGTAGTAGAAACAGGAAATTAGATAGACAGCCAGATGATGCCAGATCTATCTAGCAACAATTGATAGAAGAATGAATTGTGAAGTGTTAGCTTCCTCCCACTCTTTTGGTATGACAGGGAAGGCACCAATCTCTTAAGGAGGTGGACCGAGTTGTCCTTGTGCACCTAACAGCTGGTATTCATATTATCAATGGAGGAATCCTTTTTTTAGAATTAAATGAGAAGGAAGTTCAACAATGTATTTTTAAAAGGTTAAGGTTAAGGATGTTGAAAAAAATTGAGCTAATTATTTATATTAGACATTCTTATAGGAATACAGGGCAGAACCTGATCTAAATTAATACTTTTGGGAAAGGTGCCTGAAAAAAAAAGAAACAACTAGTAATGATAAAAAATAATGTTTATTGCAGGATCCAATCTGGGTCGGTCACCGGGACCAGGGGTTCTGTCTGCCAAGCTTTTGGAGTCATGCTGGAACCCATCTTCAGGGAACTTCTCTTTAGAAGAAGCTAGTTGTAGAGAAATTCCTTGAAGATGGGCTCCAGCTCAGAAGACAAAACCTCTGGTCCCAGGGATTGACTGACCCAGATTGGATCATGCACCATTATCCTGGGACAAGTATATTCACCTTCATTCGTAATGTTTATCATCAAATACATAACAGATAAAGCACAAAACCAGATGGCATCTGAAATTTGCCTTTTAAAAAAACATTTCTAGAAAGCATTTTTAGGCTACCCAAATCCATACAGATTCTAGGAAGTAAACCACACAACCCAATACAACAGAATACAACATACTGCAATATAGCACAAACTGCTATGATAGATGTCCAGAAAACATTTAGACTCTGCAATAATTAAAAAAAAAGTACTACTTTTACTTGTTTCTTAAAAGCAAGGAGGGCTGAGGCCATCTATAACTTCAGGAGAAAGGGGTTTTGTAGCCCATTGAAGAAACTTTGCTTGTCCTCACTGCAGATAGTTCACAAAGAATCAGGCCTTCTCTATATGTCCATATTAGTTTATCAGAATCTGTTTTCTTTAGGAGTTGCCTTAATCTGTTGCTACAGTTGGTTACTAAATTAGCCATTGTGTTACAACATCTAAAAAACTGGAACTGGGAATTAAGTAGATCTTGGAAATTTTGTGCAATATAAATGTCTTTTACAAGTGACAGCCGGGTTAGGCGCCAATCAAAATAAATGCCTTTGGGTCAATTTTAATTTTAAATATGTTCTGAGGATGATGACTGACTAGAAAAGGTCTTTTGACTTTGCAAATTCCTTTTAGGGTTATCCTTCAAAACACTAAAAATAATACAGACAATATCATAATCTTTCTATTTAAAAATGCATTATAACACCTGGAAAATATTGAATCATTTTAAAAATTATATCGTAGTTTTGAAAAAGATTAATTAAAGAGTAAGTATACGATCAAGGGCCTGAAGAAAATCTATATGTGCAAAGGGTAAAAGCATACATTATTTATTTGATCAGAAAATATAGACGTGTGCAAAATAGGTTGTGTTGTCTCAAAGAGTTTGTATTTCCCCCCAAAAAAATGGGCTAATTCAAGAGGTGTTTCCTCCATTTTCAAGCACTTTTCTTCTAAAATAAGAAGTTATTCATGATGCTGGGGAGAAGCACAATGTTCCAGCAATTGACTATGCTACTTTTTAGTGTACTGGAGGATGGCAGGGGGTGGGGGAAATGATATGATATACTCCTAAAAATTTAGGCATGGTATGAAGAACATCAATAGGGGGAAAAAGTTTCTATATCTTTCATTATATTATATAAGGGTGGAAATTTCTGGATAGATAAAAAGAAATGGTTCTTCATGTGATATGTAGTAAAAGTTGGAATTTGCTACTGCCAAGCATTGATGGCCACTGACACTTTTTTAAAAGGATTAGACAGATCCATGGAGAATAAAACTACTAATCACGAAGATTATGCTGGTTTATGACTGAGATAAAATTGTTATGCCATGCTATATGTCATATTAGGTGTTATCTGCTATATCTGTTCTATACTATATGTTAGGTTAATCATGAAGCCTATGTAATTTCTCTAGTATCAAAGCAGCATCTCTTTTGCTAACAGCCACTGGGGAACTCAAGCCTGTACTGGCTATTGTACTCATATCCTACATTTAAGCTTAATCATAGCTTTTTGGAACAAATTGGCCTCTTGTCTGATTTAGTACTGCACTTCTTAATAGCCACTGTGCTTCAGGTTTACATGTTAAATACTTTGTTTCTGATGTGACATATAAAGGAGAGAAAAAAAATATTTTCTTTCCCAATGTTTAACTTCATAGATGCTTCGAAATTACTGAGATGTTTGGAGTCAATACCCAAACATTCCTTTTAACTATTTTAGTTTGAATCTGGTATATTAACCACACAGAAAAGAATATGGGAAAAGGAAGTAAATAACAAATGACCTGACATATCTTCCCTTAGCCCTCACAAAATAAAATGTAAGCACATTCGAGAAAGCCTGCAGTCTCTGTTCTTCCTTCCTTCTTTCCCTCCCTCCCTCCCTCCCCCCTCTCTTGTAAAATAAATAAAAGACATATATTAAAATCCAGTGACAAAACCAAAAATACCTTAAAGAAAATAAAATTTGTGAGTGTGCATTCATCCACATGTCCGTACGAGTTCAATAAGATCATAGAGACCCTTGATTCATAGACTCTTCAGATCTCTAAGTACCATTGACTATCAGCCAATGACTGATAATCCTATTATTGTCATCTCAACCAATGATCATAAACATATTTTAATTATAGCATTCATTGTTTATCAATGCAATTCCTTCATCTGCCTGGATACACTGTCAGTCAATTTTATTAGCTATGACCCCAAGTGTTAATATTCTAAAAGAAGGAAAGGAATAACATATCCATTTTTTGCATGGTGTGTATTGTAATTTTTAAAATTCTGTATCATGTTCAGATTTTCTAAATTGTAAAGCATTACACTTTCCATCCTCTCTTTATATGGACAGTTGTCAAAAACATTTGTTGCTACTTTCATGCATTTTACAAACATACAGGATATAAGTAAAATGATTCAACCTGAAACTTAGTGCTTAGCAATAGCAATAGAGATGAGACTTATATAATATTCCATAATGCTTTACAGTTTCTATGAGTGGTACAATACCAGCATACTACCCCCAACAATCTCGGTCCTCATTTTACCGACCTCAAAAGGATGGAAGGCTGAGTCAACCTTGACCCACTCAGGATCGAACACCTGGTTGTGGACAATGTTAGCCTGCAATAGTACATTCTAACCACTGCACCACCACGGTTCTTAATTTGCCTTGCTGAATTCAGCTAAAGGTTAAATTCATATAAAGGCATGGTAATAATGGATTTTTTTTAAAAAAAAAAATCCTATTCTTTACCATTCCTTGCATGGAATTGGCCATTTTCATTGCTGCCATGCACAAAGTTGTTGATTTAATTAAGCTACTTATTTTAAGAGCTTAAATTGCCTTCCTGTATGAACCCTACAAGTTCAGTTCCTCTTAGCGTCTATATGTTATTTACTTACTTAAATATATTATAGCATTGTTTTCCTATGCTTTCATTTTCCCACTTCCCCATTCTACTTGAGTTTTTGCCATCTTCACTCATTTAAAGTCATCCAGTGAAGTTGACCAGCTTGAGGAATAACCCTCCCAACAAGTATTTTTTACTAAAAATTTCAGTGTCGGTATTCCATTACTGATCTATGATATGCTATCTCCTTACTTTATCTAATATGAGAATTGTCAATTTATATTTTGCCAAACTGATCCATCTCTCTGTCTTTCTCCCTCTCCCTCTCTCCCCCTCTCTCCCCCTCCCTCCCTCCCTCCCTCCCTCCCTCACACACACACACACAGAGAGAGAGAGAGAGAGAGAGAAATATAAATATTCCGAAACATACACATACAAATTCTGCAGGATAAGACTGATGTTACGAAAGGGACAGGAATGTTGATCACATGAATGCCATTTCTGGCAGGGGGGAGGAGTGGGGAGAAAGGATTTTTACAGAAGCCTTATTTTCTGTGTCTCGATGTTTTCCTTCAAAGGTCCCTATTATAATACCGTGCCACCGAGTGATTTGCAGCAGTGGACAACCTGGCAACTACACGGGAGGAAGTCATCTGAAAGAGTGGCTTTTGTCACACGAGAAGCTTCAGAAGGAAAAGTTAACATATTGATGCAGTTCAGGTACAGCTGTTACAGAGTGAAACCAGCACATCAACCAAAGATACTTCGCTTATAACAAGCTTTCCAAACACACAGTAGAATTCAGGGAAACGGTAAATATTTGAGTGACATATAAATATAATACAACATCCGAAGCGAAATGTGTGGTGGCACTACTATATTAAAAAAGCTGAATGTGTCCTAGGGGATACAGCTTGTATGCCCTTTCTTGTTTTTACATTTTGCAGCAGAATGAGTACAGCGGACTGAGCCTGTTGTGCATGTATTTTGTTCCCATCTCTGGTGCTGTTTTGTTCTATTTTTAATGTCCATTAAAGCAAGGATAAGGGAGTGGGAGGGACATGGCAAATGTTCGATGGAACTGCCCCTCTAAGGAAGCATCTGGCTCGCAGAGGGGACAACCGGGAATCTACTGCCTTTGCGTGCATTCGGAGAACAAAATTAAAGGCAGGAGCTTACACACAAACACACACACAGACACACACAGACACCTCCCTCTCCCACTGTTCCTGCCTGGATTTTTATTTGTCCAGATTGAAAAGCTTGTCCCTCTGCCAGGCACGCTGCCCAAGATTCCCCTGTTTTCTTTGATGTTTGAACTGTTGAAATGATGTTTTACGTAAACAGTTATTAATGAAACACACCCGAAGAGCCATTCAAAAGGAAACAGCTATTGAATTGCCTTTTCACAGGGTTTTTGTGTTTTTTTGGGGGTTTTTTTTTAGATGCTTTAGGAGATGCGAATAAAAATACTTAGTCTCTCTTAGCATGGCTTGATGTAGGCAGAAAAATACATTTTGATGAGAAGTTTAACCGCATGGTTTTAATACAATTATGCAACCTAGTTAAAGATAACAGATACCTTTGGCTGCCATTTAGAAGTATATTTCTGTCTCACTGTCGTCTTTATATCGTTTGCTTAGCATTTGCTTGATTCCCTTTCTTTGTGGAAATATGTCATACAATATGAGAAGAATCAAAAGCTACACATTACAGTAAACATATAAAGCCAAACAGAAAAAAATACAGTCAGCCAAAGGATATTGAAGCTAAAATTTCTAGTTATTTAAAAAGAAGTCTGTGAGAGTAAAATATTACAAACCACAAGAAACTGAAATTTTCACTACTGTATGGGATTCATAAATCATAACATGAAAATACCGATTTTTATGTTTTTATTACATTCTTGAGGGAAAGCGTGCTGCTAACAAAAATTATTGTGTGGTGTTATTACATTAATGTAGTGTTATTCAGATGTTAGAATTATTTTACTAAAACCCGTTATGCGTGTACACATTGTCTGTATATATAAATAAAATACTGTATATAATATCCTCAGAAAATAAACTACACCCTATTGTACAATATAAAGCTGTATTTTATCAAGAGTTTCTGGTGGCAATATAAACCATGAAAGCAAGACTCAAGTGGTTTGTGTGTGTCACCAAAAGCCCAAGATAAAAATATAACCTTATAATATGTACATAGAGAGTGTATTCTTTCTTGGGGGTGGAGTGGAAGAGTCATAACATGTGAATATGAGCCAAAAAGAATCACAGATGCTGACTTCTGTAAACTTTCTTTTTTCTTGTTTAAGGACAGTGATGTGGGGGAGCAATTTTTTCAACTGCAATATTTCTTTCCTTTTCTCAAAAATTAGTAGATCATGCTTCTTTTAAAAGTTTCTTTTTTTTTTTTCTCTTTCTCCTTTATATCCTGCGTTTTTCTTAAACAGTAGGGTAAGAAACCAGAAAATATAAATATTGTTGTTTGGGGGAGAACAAAACCAAACCGCATATTATTTGAAACTAGGGTTATCAGCCATGTTACAGTCCAGACCCTTGTTTTATCTGTCAAGGAAAAAAACTTGTCCTGAATTTCTCTGTGGTTTGCCTTGTCTTTGAGCTATCTCAAGGGAGTTCTATAAATGGGAATCCTGTGGAATATTTAGAACCTCTCTTGGTTGAAATGCCTTCTGTGTCAGGATTTGAAGAACTCAATCACAGTGTGACCTCTTTTTCCTTCTTCTGATACTAAAAGACCTAGCAAGTTCCTTTCCACTGAATTCATTTGGACATAATCAGTACCTCATCCAGTTACAAAAATTTGAACACATCATCTTGGTTCTATGTCTTGTACACATTGCCCTATTTATAGGATGAGTTGTTCTGTGGAAAAAAAAATGCCCGGTAGAAGAAAAACAAGCAAGAAAACTTAAAAAGAAATAACTCAGAAAACTCACATTTAGTTAAGCAATCACTAAAAAGTATTGGTGAGGGTTAGAGGTGAATCATTTAAAAGAATGATTTAAAAAAATCATTTGCATGAAGATAAAGATTTTGTTGGCTGACTAACACATTTTCATGAGCTGGTATCTCAATATTTGTTTTGCTATTGTAGGCCAAGCCGTTTATTCTTTTGTCAGCATGTGTTCCAACAGAGGGCACTGTAGCACACAAGAATTTAGATTCATGTCTTCTACAATGTTTTTAGGAGAAACTCATTCACTACTTTTTTCCCCTGCTGTTTAAGAATGAATTTGAAAATGAACAGCCAAGTTGAAATCTACTAGCTGCCTTATTTGCAGTGCTTCAGACCGTCTGCCTCAGGAATTAGCTGTCTGGTAGTATTACAAGCCTACTATCTTCATCTCACACATATATGTCTTGTGAAAAAGACTACCATTCCTGAATAAGATGAAGAGCAGCTTTTCTTTGCTGTGATTTCAGATATTGCTAATGATGGCCAGGCTACAACTTGGCATGACCACTAATGAAGGGGGTAGTGAGAGTAGAGCCTCTAGGGATTTTTCATAGACAGGGAAGAATCCACTTGCTGTTCATGTGTGCTTTTAGCATTCTTTCCATGTGCTGAAAGTGCTTATGTCTCTCTATGATGTCTTAATAAGTGTGCAATATCTTTATTCTGGCGTGACTTAGCATTTACCATACTGTAATGCTTAGCCCAACCTAACTGAGGAGCAGCTTCCAAAAAGAAATAGTATTTCAGACCCTTTCGTAATCTTTGGAATGAGCTAAATGCATACCACCACAGTTGTATTATGCTATATAGAATTAGAATAGAATTCTTTATTGGCCAAGTGCGATTGGACACACAAGGAATAGCATGCTAGATTATATATTACATTACATCATATTTATAGTTTGTATTATATTGTGTTATTAAATTATTATATTTATTTTAATTCAGAAGTAGAATGGACAATATGCAAAGCTAGTGTTTGGTCCAGTCGTGACTCTGCTTTGCCAGTTTAAAAGCCATTTTGTGTCCTCGGCCTCTGAGGGTTTTCTCTGTCCTGTCGTAAGTCTTGATATATATTCTGAGGTTTCCACCATAGAACACAGCAACAGCAGCTTGGTTCAAATAGGCACTGTGTGTGATGTGACTCCTAGAATCCAAGAAAGACTTCCCACAAATCCAAGAAAGAAACAAGCAAAACAGGAAAGTGCAATTTGCTTGCAAATCACCTTCAGCCCAACCGACTTAGAAAGCCAGTGTTGCAACATTTATGAAAGTTTCTTTAAAAAAAAAAAATCCAAAGCACTTTCTAAAAAAATCTCTGGGAAAAAGAAAAAAAGCTATGGGCCCCCCCCCCCCCCCCCCCCCCCCCCGAAAAGGGTTCTCCTGCCCTATCAAGTTTCCTCCCATTCAGTCAAGCTTTGAACTGCTGACACTGAGACAGTGCAGCCAGGCACGACAGCTGGCTCGGCAGCATCTAATACCAACACATGCTGGTTTAGTCCATTTCCAGAGACTAAGATAATGAAAGATTCAGAAATAATATTTGTTTTGGTAGAACTACATTTATAATGAAATAGATGTCCTTGACCGTGGAACAAACTGAATTTTGCAATGGGTCATTTCCTCTCTCCCACTATTCACCTTGTATTTAATGTGGATGACACAAAATCCGATGCAAGGGGGGAGATTTTTTTTTTGTAGAATCCAGTCAATCTCCATTAAATTTAGAATATGTTATCAAGGCACAAATCTCACAAAGTGATCCACTGGTAAGGCTTTCTTATATTTACTCTACTGTACGAGGTTGTGTCTGGGGGGGAGTTGATAATAGCAGTATTTTACAGTAGAAACCAAAAATAAAAGAAATTGGCAATTCAGAGTTTGTAAATTCCTCAAAAATAGCAATGATTTGCAACTTTCAATTCATATATTAAAAGCACTTGATCACTGTATTGAGCTACATAATGGTGGAAAATAGCAATATAAAAATAGGAAACATTTTAAAGATGAGGAATTGCAAAAACAAGTTTTCCTTCCAAACAGAATTTTTATCTCCTATTTATTATGCAAAATGCAGTGAAATCCAATGAAAAATGAGGAATCTGAGATATAAATATTATACCTATTTATCTATTATACCTAATTCATAGAAACAATATGTGAAATCTTTCCTCATATCAGCTTGATATTACTGCAATCTTCTATTTAAGAAGAATATTAATTCAGAACTGAAAAAAGATTATTACTGTCAGTATGATAAAATTATGGTCATAGTAAAAACTGAAGAATACATTAAAATTGTATTCTCATAAATATAATCAATACTTTTCTCAAATAATATTTTGATAGATACTAAGTTGTGATATTAGTACCAAATGTAATTCATATTTTCATTTTCAATATCTATTCCGTTTTTTAACCTTACACATACATTCTGTGAAAGATTTAATTTAGGAGCTCATTTCCCCCCTTTACTTAAAAGAATAAAATCTATTAAAAAACATTGCTTAAAAACTAACGTAATTGGAGAGTCACAAGATTGATATACTATTTCATGAATAATTGCACCATAAGGATCATATAGAAAAGTAAAATCCCCTTAATTATTAGCTAGCTGCATTTCTTGTTATATTTTTGGTAAATATAAATTTTACTTTAAAGGGTTTAGCTTGAACCACCCTTCCTCTTCCACCGATTGCAACAATAATCTATGTTTCCTTTTCTTCTTTTCTACTTTATTATAACTAGTTTCAAACCCTGGAAAAATATTACTGAGAGGAGTTTCTATTGTTTCTATTAATACATAATCTGGATAGATGCATCCAATTGATACACAGATTGCACTTGTTAGAAGGCTGTGTTATTTTTGTTTCAAATAGCATACATTGATGTAAGAAATAAATACATTGAGTACAGCACATAGGAAAAGTAAGATTTCTCTGTTTGAAGAGATGTGGCTGCTATTCTTATTTATACCAGAAGAAAAGGCCCCAAAGGTAAGCCACTGCCTCTTCATAATGGTCTTGATATCAAGAAACTTCTGTTCTTTCATATTTCTCCTCCTCTGTATTCTCTTAAACAAATACATCTTCCATCTTAATTGTTTTAACTTTTGTCTGCTATTTTGCAAATCCTAATGCTATTCTGACATCACAGTCTTGGAAGGCTTTTAATTTAAAAGTTGGAATTTAAGAGTTGAAGTTAACATCAATTTTTTTTTATCAGCTTTTATCAGACAGTAAGATTTAAAACAAGGCCTGCGCTGAATGCTGATCCAGACCAGCCTTTTGTCTGTGTGAAGTTATGAGTAGGTGGCAGTTAAAAGCTGGAGGCCAAGGGCTGGAGAAACTGCAGGTACCAAAGTGTCTTTAAGTAATGAAGGGCAGTAGTCCAAAGTCTTCTGGACGAACTGGCACCACATGCAGACAGATGGAAAAGGTCTGGGCTCCATCACCTTCAACTCAGCCCGACAAAGATCTATATTAGAGCAGGAAACGGGATAAGAACCTTCAAAATAGTAGCTGGGTGGTAAGGTGAAAATTGACAAGAGCACCATATTACTGACAAGGCTTTTGATTGATGAAAGGATGTTATTAGCAAGCTTTTAAAGTTGTTGTTGTTTTTTATTTAATCTCATGGAAGGCCCCACAAAAATCCCAAATCATCACCCAGATTTTTGAGTACATTATTAATCAACATTTTTAACTTTAAATAACTTATTAAATTCTTGTTTAATGCTATTTTGTTGCTTCCTTAGTTGGTACTTGATAAAAATCAGCCATTGATCATATTCAGGCACATGGTTTATATCACACTACAATATGCCGTTTCTAAAAACGAAAAGCAGCAACCCAAGTCATGCTGATTTTTCACTGTGAGTATGTAAGCTGTTTCAATAGAGATACACTTTTAACAACTGACAACACTCACTGCCATTGTTATATATCATGGTGAGGCTAGTCACTTCCATGGTATCTTCAAGCAAGGTTGATTACAGTGAGAAGCAACATAGTGGCTTCACAGGTGCCTTC